CCTAGATGCTGTTACACAGTTATTGGATACAAAGCGAAAAAAAGACAACAAAACTTATAGTTGTACCCGATGAGCGCATTCAGCCGTCTAAATTATGCCATATTTCATTGATAAATGAACTAAATTAAAAACTTTTTAATGCGCACAACCAGAGAATGCAACACAAACACGATTGAACGCCAACATTTGCAAGTTTGTGATAAAAACAACACCTGCGTAAGTTAACTTCATCGTCCTCAATTGGACAGTACGATTGTTGCCAAGAGTGAAGTTATAAATATACGTTTATATAGACCATATGACTTTTGCTTATTTGTGTTCTAGTTTCCGATATAGATTTCCAAAAAAGCAACTATTTTTAAAGGCTACATGCATGCAGTGCACTGGTGGTGACCGCGGCGGTCGCAGTGACGTCAAATCACAGCCAGGCACTCTGCGACCCTTGACATACTGACATATTTAGATTTCACAGTTCTTTTAAATAAACAAACATTTATTAGGAAATAAACTCATGATTTGAAGTATTGTTTATAAGTTTGTGCTAGCTTTTTTCCTGTTCCTGTTCGCTATTGCTGATATCTAAATTAGTCCATTTTTATTGAAAACGCTTTTAATTGTATGTTTATTGGGAATGCAACAAACGTTACTCAAGAAATACAAGTTTAAAAAAAATAAAATATCTAGTCTCTGCCTGATTGTAAGCTATTCGTAACAGTTGTAATATCACTCAGAGCTTTAAATCGCAAAGATCTGTCACTAACCATAATGTACCCAACGTTGTTCGTCCTAGGTATAGCGGAGTACAATAAACTAGAAGTTAGGCGGGACCTGGCGCTAGTTACGTATATTTTTGAATTGCTATTGGGCAAGCAGTATTGGGGCAAGTAAAGATGTACACTCCTGACAAGTACACGGGGCGAGGGCGGCGGCCGCCCGCTGCGAGCGACACCGCGCGCGCAGACTCAACTGCCGGCTCGAGCGTAGCTGACACAATTGACTTATTTCATTGCACTCCGAGTGAATGCATAAGGGTTGCCTTGCATGTACTGTTATGTTTCTTGAATTGTTTATTTATCTGCCTTCTCTACTGAATTAGGTTTGTCTGTAATGTTAGTGTTAAGTTGTTATGTACAAATAAATAAATAAAAAAAGTTGACAAGTCCCGTGAGATTGTAATTTCACCAGCACCCTTACCCTTCAAAACCGGAACACAGTAATGCTGACATTACTGCTTGGCGGCAGAAATAGGCAAGGTGGCAGTACTTCCCTGGACGAAGTTTTACACAAGGAGCTCTACTGCTGTTAAAAGTTATAAGTAATGTGAATGGTCAAGAAATGGCTTTAAAAAGTCGTACCACATTCACCACAATGTGTCTTGTGCAATCACAACTTACTCAAGATCCAAATGGAAATGTGGAATAAAAATCAAAGGTTGGTCAGCTTTTTTAAATTTGTTATTTATTCCAGTAAACCCTCTCGTGTCATAAAATGCACATTTGGATACTTTGTAAACGCGTAGAGAAGTTTCTTAGTCATGCAGATGACTAAACAGGTTTGAGAGAAACTTGGTGTAGATACCTAGGTTAAGCATATACTTGAACTTGGGTGTTTTTTCTCGGAGTCCCGAGCGGAAGTTAGTTAATAAGGTTGTTTTCATATTAAATTGAAATTGATGACACAAAAGCAGTTGTACGACGAGAAATAGCCAAGTTGAAATAGAGAAAATTATCGTTGGCATAAGACCCGCGTAATGGATTTCAATGTAGAAAGGCGTTTCGACTCGTAAGGCAGACCCGTGCTTAGCGGTGGGGTTAAATATTAAGTCAAAGAACGTGATAAAAAGCCAAAACTATCGAAAAGTAAAGAATATACCCAATCATAGAAAGGACATAACTACCTTTATCCTCAAGAGGCGTAGTATTTTTTGCTCTACCTTTTTTTATAGACATCTAGAAACTTTCATTAAATGCACCGCTAAGAGCCAAAAAATGATGACACTTGTTCACTTTGCGTCAAATGTTTGAAAAAGGTTTCCTCCACGCTCCAGGGCCGATTTAGCTCCTTGGGGAACGTCCGAAGGAAGAACTCTAATGGCGGCGTTTGTCTGTGAACTTTTAAGTATTTGTTTAAGTAATCTGTTTTTAGGGTTCCGTATAAGAGTAAAAGGAACCCTTATAGCTTCGTCAGCATTTGCAATAATTATTACAATGGATTCAAATAGTTCTAAAAATTATTTTATTGGTAAAATGGCATTTAATTTACTATTTAATTCTGTGACTGTGAACTGGCAACGGGTATTATCTCAATTTCCTAAAGATTTCACTCTTTAATACCATTTATACTATTTCGTACTCCGCAGCGTTGCAAGAAATTCCATTGCTTTTAATAACATGTGTAATAAAAATATTTAAAAACTACGTATTTTTATTTAATAAACCTGATACTGTATAAATGACGCAGACAAGTTTTTTCTTCATCCTGTAAAGTTGTCGAAATTGAGATAGTACCGGTTGCCAGTTCACAGTCGATATGCTACCTAGGAGAAGTTGCGACGAACGACTACGAAACCCTATCAAGTGCGTATTCGACACGCTCTTTATGGATTTTTTGGCAACAACATTAGCTTTTTAATTTATCTCGCTTATGGTGCTCGGTGTTGGGAGATAAGGGATTGAGCGAAATCACGTGTTGCTACCGATCTTCTAATGGGAAGGTTGTTCCGTATCTTTGTCGCTCCTTGGAAGAAGCGTATTTTAGTGTAGACTACCTACACTATTTACGTACGGTTTGATTAAGTAAATTAATTAATAGTATTTATTGAGATTATTGTGAAATTACTACTTTTGTTACGATTATGAATACAAAGAATTTCCCAAAAAATCTCAATAAATACATTTGATCGTAGCCGATACCTGTAAAGGTATCGGCAGCGGTGAGGAGGTTATTCAAAAATGTCTCACTAGATGTCGTCACTAGCGGTGACGAATGCCGAAAAGCCAGTACAAAGATCTATAACTGTAGCTCAGTTGGTAAGAGCAAAGCTACGGTGCAGCATGGCCGTGGGTTCAAGTCCCACCGGGTCGACGAAATTTTTTCTGTGTGTTCGATCTGTAATGAATAGTACCTAAAGTAGCAATGTTGGTGCAACATTATGTATTTTGTTCCCGTCGGAACCCAAACTCCCGTAACATATAGTTTCTTTACACAATGCCTCTAAAGAAACAAACTAGGTACTATGCAGATAATATAAATCTTTATGCGAGATATCTAAGGTATAATAGAGAATCGGTGAAATAGGCTAAAGCCGAAACAGGCCAGAGTGATTACGTATAATAGCATCAGATCGGCGATCGTGATCGATGATGCTGAGCCCGCGCCGACCGCGGCATCCGTCGACTAGATGCAGGGAAAGTGCATAGAAATGCAGCTTTCGCTTCCGCCCGTGAGGGGGCGCCTCCGACACCGATTTGTGTACACTTAAATTGGAATTATTATGCCAGTATTACTCGACGAAATTCAAAGTTTCTATTTGAACGTATGTAGTGAATATGGTCGTATAATTGTATAAGGCATGTATTGAAATGTTCATTTGAAATTTGCGAAAGCATCGGGCATAAAATCTAAACGGTCATCTTTTTTAGTGATTGATCCTCTTTCTCTGAGACATAAAAACAAATTAAACGGATGGATATTTAAATCTATCCAGAGCTACGCAAAAAATGTTTGATTTGTATAAATTAATTTTGATTTGATAACTTTGATGTTGGACTTCAAAACTAAGCAAATGAGCATTAAAAATAAAATGTAGATATTTTTATACTAATATTATATTAATTATAATATAATTTGACCTGAAAACAGGTTCAGAAATGCAAGCAAATTGGTTTCTCGCACTCGCCGGTCACTCCATTTTCATATACTTACCTAACCTATTGAACAGAGGGTGCAACCAAACAACCAAAATTTATTAGGAGATCAATATCAAAAGATATACTGGTTGTAAATATCACCAATTCATAAAGAGGATCAAATATTATTTTTGAATACCAAATATCAATTTAGTATGCTTAAACATAACAATAGTGTCACCTTGAATGCAGTTCATTTATAACTTATCCGTAGATCAGGTAATATAAATAGAACAATTAATATACATATGAAACGTATAAAATAAATAACGTTCATTTCAAAAAAAACGTTCAAAAAAGTGCACATTTACAATAGATCACTTATTTCTTTTATGATATCATCTATCATTGTTGTTCAGAAAGAACTAAAGACGCCGTCACACAACAAGTGTACGTGATTCTACTGTTAGGAAAGTTCGGTAAGTTCATTTATAGGGTGATAATCTTTATAAGAAAACACACTAATAAAGGTAGAAATGATTGGTCGAAATAAAGTATAATTTAGTTCTTAGGAATCAATTATCTAAGTATAGACTGCGTGAAGTTTTCTTGGATGTGATTTATTAAGGAGGTAATTAGTATACCCATGCCTTTGCTTCTAATATAAAGTAATAGAGCTTAACTGTCAGTAGTTTCTCAACCTAAGCCTGCGACGACTTGTAGAAAACCTCATCAGCGAGTGTGATTTTATGACTCATAATAATGGTATCTGTAATATACAAGATATTAATACTAACTTTCTCACTGGCGGCTAAGCGCTTTACGAGGTAAAAGCGGCCAAACGCGAAAGGAAAATCGCTGACACTTCCTCGAGCGGAAATTGAAAGTGGATTGTGATCGTGGAGAAAACTGCATAAGACGGGCCATGGTGCATCGATGCATTTTAAAAACGAAACACTAATAGTGACATCTAGCAACATTTCTTTAAACTAAATAGAATTAATTTGCTCTGCGACCTCTAGTGGTAGTATAATGTACTAAGACAGCCTTACGAATTTTAGTTTGCTAATATATTACCTAGTTCCGCTACTCGACACTAGGTGGCGCAAAAATTAATACTTGCTCTTAAGGATAAGGAATAAAGGAATTTACCTTTACCTCCACCAGCATCATGCACCTGCGGCTTCCCACTCGGCACTCTCTGCATCGGTGAAGCGTTGCCATAGTTCATACTCGTTCCATTGTAATCCGAACTAATCGGTTCTTGCTTTATGCAGCTAGATGTCGCTGCTAATTTTTCCGCGAGTAAAGGATTTGCGGAAGCGATATTGTATCTTCCGTTATTTATATTATTTGCCACGGCATTGTTGATGGCGTTAGTGCCGGATCTTAGTAATTGCTGCAATCGTTGCTGGCCGTTGTTTTGCAAAAGTTGGCTGCTTGTCTGGTAACTGTAGCCTTGCATTTGACTCCCAGACGCTGGCGATGATACGTTATTGTTTTCTTCTTGCTGGAATTGGAAACAAAGCTTTAAATATGTATTTGAATCTAAATATGTATTACTTAAGCAATTCATATTTACTAGGAAACAAATACATTGTATAGAATTATATATTCTTAAATTTCAAAAGTTGAGTGATGTTTTTATTTCCAATATTTTGACGTTATCCGCAAATTAGTCTCACCTTCTAGATTATTGATAAAAACCCAGTTAAAAGGATACTAATATGACAAGGCCCCTCCACGATAGCATATTATGTAGTCATTGACCTATATAATATCTATTGAGATTCATATCTGCAGTATACGTATATTGAGATAATGAATATTATACAACATCACATAGGTTGCCCTGATCCCAAAGTAAGTAGCTAAAGCATTTGTGTTATGGAAATCGGAAACAACGACGATTTCACAAAAGCCCAGATCCGAGACAGTATAGAAAAGTTAGTACCTATACTACACTGATCCGGCCGGGGATCGAACCCGGGACATCAGAGATACGGACACCATGACAGCCGCTGTATAAGCCACCCGACAACGGACGAATCCACCGATAAGCAAAATATTATTACATTTGTGTTTTTTGTTACAGTGTTTTTTTAAATGGGACCATATGGGGAAATCCGAAACCATAGACGATGCAAGGAAACTGTCTGAACCATTAACTCTTTTTTTCTGAAAACAATTTTGGTATAGTAAATTTTTTGGTCAAGCGTGAGTTGCCCATAAAAATGAATAAAATTGATCAAATTTTTTTTGTGCTGATCGACTCAGTTTAAGGATAAAACTGAGTCGATTAGCACTAATCAAAGACCAAAAATTTAACTAGGCCAAAATTGTTTTCACAAAAAAGAGTTAATGGATCCTGAGAGAGTTTCCTTGTACCTTCCATGGTTTCAGATTTCCCCATACTGCTCCACTTTTAAAATCACTCTGCATATCACAATTGCTTAGGCATCAGAAATACATGGGAACTCACCTTAATTTCAATTGGTGGAACATTAGACGCGGTGGCGTTAGTGAGGTCCGTAAAAAAAGTCTCAAAATTGTCAAAGGCGGTCTCCCCGAGCTGTTTGAGTATGTCGTCGGGGTCCGCGGCCTCCGCGTCGGTCTCCAGCGAGAGCCCGCCAACGATGTTTGACAGCTCGGCCTGCGACAGCTCGCCCAGTGAGGACGCCATTTGTTGCAGAGCAGCTGTTTGCCCGCCTGCCGCTGCTACCGCGTCCTGGAATCGAAATAAATTGCGACTGTTAATATTTTTAAAGTGTAAGTAGGTGCGCTGTTTGTCAACGATGGGGGGAACATTTGGAGAAAACTGCATGAAGTAGATGGTTCACAAACCTTTGTTCCCAACCAGTGTTAGTTAGGTCAGGATGTTGGACCTAATCCCAAAGCATCCTTAGAAGAGGCCTATGCCGAATAGTGACGTAATGTTTTTAATTTTAGTTAAATGTTTACTTATTTACCCATTATAAAGTCTATTCTTTGTTACAAGTCGTTTACGTGTGCCCATAACAGCGTATATGTTGCTCATTGATAGATTTTTCCTCAAACACAACTTGTTGCGTAATTTCGATATATTTATCATGGCTATGACAAATAGTCACCTGAACACAATTGGAGAGGTCGACCATCCTGCCCTCATTCTCGGCGGACCACCATTCGTCTTCAATAAATGGCATCGCCAGCGCCGTTGAGTGCGGCGCATGCGTCCCCGCCACCTTGTCTCCGCCACGAGGCGCCACTATCCACAATCACAATCACCGACTCACAAACACACTGTCTCTACTTCTACACTAGTAAATTCGTTACAAATATTTGGCAGCGTTTTGGACGGAGGGTACATTCTTCGTTGCTTGTTGCGCTATTCGCACGGTTGGTACTTAGTTGCTGTGGAACACATGACGGTGTTGCTTGGCGCCCTCGGCCAGGTTACCTCACGCCTCTCGCTCCGTTCCTCTTCAACAGCGACCTGCGAAAAAAGGGAGAGTAGGCTTCCACGTTTTAAAAATACTTTTTAGGCCCTACGGTAGCAACGCAAACGGCTCAGTGGTATAATTGTCTGAAGGTGTTGCGCACAATTTGGAGACTCTCGAGACGGAGATCAAGAAAATCGGTTCAGCAGTTGAATAAGCACATGTATATTGGGTTATTGGTGAAAAAATGGGCGTCCAGAGCGTAGTGGAACGTATACAGACATATGTAAGGAGGAGGTATTTTTCTATAAAGGCGTCAGTTCTGCGCCGAGGTCACCTGGCTACGTCCCGGTGAATGTCGAACCGCCGATACAGCATAGAGGCAGCCGTCCAGCGTCGCCTCGCCCACTGTGCACGCTCACTGAAAATTAAACACGTGCGTACTTACAATTAGGACTCGGGTATTTTGACGAATATTTAAGGCATCAGAGCTAAGCCCTGAATTAATTTTAAAACTTGGAATAATTACAATTATTTTATTGCGATTGATTAGTAATATAAAGATCGCACACAGAAAAATATCTTCAAACCCGATGGGACTTGAACCCATGACCACGCTGTACCGTAGCGCTGCTTTAACCAATTCATCTTCAGGTCAAGTTATCGACTTGTCGAAATTCTCTTATGTGTTTTTGCTATAGATATTTGTAATGATTTTTTTTGGCATCAGCGCCTCTGGTGACATCTAGTAAGAGATTTTAGAACAATTATTTGGCAACTGAAAAGCGACAGTAACTGAGATAACGCGTAATAATTATGAAATAGTGCATTGATTGCATTCTTGAACTTAAATTTTAAATGCATGTATTCGTTGTTTTCTTTCATACGTAATAGATAATAAAGGTGGTTTGTAAACAAGGTTCTAGGTCTATTCCCTATAGTCCCGTCTCATAAAAACACGCCTATCTGCTCAAATATCAATATTATCAAACACAATGCGAAATGTTTGACCTTGCAAGTTAAAACAAAGTGATCTACAAAACGTGATTGTACGGGCTCAGACTCACGTGTGGATAGAATCGACGGCGTTGCATCATTGAGAACGTGAGCTTGCGCCTACAGTGTTGACGGCGTCTACGCTTGTTTAAAATGATCCCTGCTGATTTTCATAATTTGCTAACACATTAAGTATCCAGGTGAGACCATCTACTTTAAGTAGTAGCAGTATTAATCAACTGTGTCGGATTTTGAAATTTTGAAACTTAAAATAATGGAAAGCCGTGGGTTCGAATTCGAACCTCGCAGGTTATCGGAATTTACGTGCGAAATTTCGTTCGAAATTTACTATGAGCTTTCGGTGAAGGAAATTATCGTGATGAAACCTGTACGTCGAATAAAGTTAACAATCTTCGGAATACGCGTCCCCAACCCACGTTAGACCATCGTGGCGGATAATGGCCTAAACCCTTGCCTTGAGACTCGTACCCGGCAGCGGGACGTATAAATGGGTTGACGATGATTTAAATAAGGGAAATAAAAGAGCTTATCAATTTTAGCCCTACGGCCGGCAATGCATTCCAGATTAAGTAACCTGTTGAAATCTGTCCAAAGATAACTTTTTTATAAAAAAGAACCGACCTCGAAAGTTCAAATTCAAATTCAAAATAATCTTTATTTCATAGGTAAGCATTATAACACTTGAAATCGTCACAATGGTTAAACTCTACCGCTCATTCGTAAGGCAGATTCCCCTGAGAAGAATGAGCAAGAAACTCTAGGGGTTGCTCTTTGTAAATAACATTTACAATATTTTTTTTTATTTGAAACATCAGAGATCGAGACTACCTCTATGAGCTAAACGGGTACTACCACGGATTTTTGTCATCCAAGTACGCAGAAGTTGTATAATAACCTTTAGTATAAAGTTTTTGTTTCACTATAGTTTTAAACCTCGTGAAAGGCAAATTTTGTATATCAACCGGAATCTTGTTATAGAAGCGTATACATTGCCCCTTAAATGAATTAAAAAATAAATCTATTTTGACCGTCTTTTTTTGACCATTTGTATGTCTGCTTTTGCCGCTCATAGATCCAAAGCTTCATATTTTTATTTATTACACGTATTTATTATATTATATATTTATTATACATTTACATTTGCAATGCAACAGACAGAGATCACTTTAAAGCGGCTGAGGCGAAATTGATAAACGTGCAAAGTTATGATGACACGTATTGGCAACTGTATTTGGGCGAGTATTATGGTTTTGAACACAATGTTTATTACTAATTGTTTTAGTTAGGTATGTCTGTCTGTAACTCGATGAACGATTTTCGGAACGAAGTATTTCTTATTACATAGATATTTTCATACAAGCTTACTACGGCTCAACATTTGGGCTCCATTTAATTCTGTATACTGATATTATAGTCTCATTAGACAACGTTTTCCTTCTACTTTCTCATTGTCATATGAGCATCAATCAATTAAAACATCATTTGCATTTCAAATAGAAAGCTAATTTGTCAACAGTCCAAATATTAATTACGCTCTATACGACAGCCAATAATTAAAATACTATAGCGTAACTAAAAACTTCATCGTATGCAAGCGCAAGCGCAAAAAGTGACAATGCACGGAAGACAATGACACGAGAATGTTGCCATCGCCAACTAAAGCATACAATGCGTGTCTTTCACTATAATTACGCAAAAAGAAAGACTTTTGTTTTCTAAAACGCTTCCTTGTACACTTTCATATTGTTTTTCTACACGCTATTTTCTAGACAACGTTGTTATACATTGAATAATAGTTAAATAATAACATACACATTGTTTTGTTTGTGTAATTACCCTTAATCATCACTTTAACATTAATTATGAATAGAACAAAGTAAATACCTTTAGTTTATTTCTTAAACGTTCTTCATGCAAAAGTCATTTTAATAATCAAACAAGTGACGCCATCTATTGTCTACTAGCGTAACTAAAGTCTATATTTGTGTTTTGTTTTAAAAAGATTTCTGTTACTAGAAAATAAATAACCGTCTCTGTATTTGCTCTGATACGTAATAACGGTCCATGTATAAATTTTCCTGCATAAAATGTCCCTTGAAAGATTTATAGGCAGAGTGCAGGTCAACCTTGAGCCATTACTTCCTCTTGCATATTGCAGGCCATACGCGCTGGCGCAACTACGATGGCTAGCTTAGGATATTAATTGTACTGTAGATACAACGTTAACGTCCGCATTAATAATAAAGATAATTTGAATTGTTAAATTATTCATTAAAAATTGCGCCTCAAACAAAAGCCAAAAATAGATATTGCGTTTCGTTACGCTCATAATACTTAATAAGAGTGTTGTTACAAAGTTAGAGGAAGAACCTTCAACATTCTAACACGAGATCATTGTGATTGCAATGTCGATAAAGAACCTGTCTAAAGTATAATTTGATGCAATTATATTCACCCATGATTCAACATATATATTTTTTAAACTTTAATTACTTATATTTCCGCATTAACAAATAAGAATAAAAGTATTACTGTACAGTTACGTACCTTTATTTATCAAAGCCAAATAGTTAAATATACACATATTATAACATGATTTCTGGAAAATAAATCATAGTTAGTTTACTTCGAGATGTCTTTGCATAAAACGAAACGTGTACCCAATGTTTTGACATTTCATCCTGAAATACTCCTAACCTCACTTTTTTGTTATGGTTTTGCGGTCTGCGATTATATCGATATGTCCGGCAAAAACAATTCAGATTCATCAACTTCCGAGTCCGAAGTCAGTGCCTGTAGTTCTAGTTTTAATCCTTTGAAAGTTTTGTATTCTAAAAAGGCTAAAATTCCCGTACGAAATGCGCCGATGTACGAAAATATTCAGCAGTACGAAGTTTCGTTAGGGAATGCTAATATCGCTGCAGTGGGCCAGGGGGAGCTAGTCAGACGCAGAGAAGAAGAAAAACAGAGACGAAAAGCGAAGGAAAAAAGAGAATTAGAGGAGAAAAACAAGCAAAGATTCGCTCAATATCAAGGTAAGCATTTTCAGGTTAGTAAATTGTTTTGTTGCTGTGAATGACGTACAATGCACGTGAATAAGTATTATTTACTACGTATTAATCAGATCAAGTAATGTAGACGGCATTTAATGTAAGACATAGTGTATAGCAAGTCTCGAGTTTACATATTTTTAACCGACTTCAAAAAAGGAGGAGGTTCTCAATTCCACTGTATGCTTCTTTTTTTTTGTATGTATGTTACGCGATAACTCCGGTATTTGTGAACCGATTTTCATGATTCTTTTTTTAATGGAAAGGGGGTACTTCCATAGTGGTCCCATTTCATTTTGAAGAAAGTCATCCACCTCTAAGGCTGGCTGTTCATGCTTGAAGATACATTTTTATAAATAGCGCCTAAATGTTACTTAAGGAGCAATTATTTTAATGGTTGATTTTGCTATTTTTCCAATTCAAGGTGTTTTTCTCTCAATATACTTTCAGTAATGAGAACCGATTTTTACATCTCCAATATCAAGTCCTGTATAGTGATGAACTAGGGGATATTTCAATAAAACTTAGTAAATAGACTTAATTCCATGTACTTTTGAGGTCAGTTTTTTAGTACTCTGTACTGAGATTATTATATAATTATGATAAATATATTGTTTTTCACTTATGTTATGACTGAACTCTTATCAAGTTGTAAAATCCATTAAAAACATAAGAATGATTAATAAAATTTGTTTATTAGGTAAATAAACTTTGTAATAATATATTAACTATAGTGGATAAGGAAAAACAAATAGAGGCGTTGCTAAGAATAGCCAAGGGCAAATAAATGTATGTTGTTTCATAGGACTAATAATTGCTATTACATATTCAGTTAGAGATAGAGGGAAAGCTCAACAAGAAAATTGATATAAAACTTGCAGTTGTGACACTTTTGTAAGCTTTTTTTTTATATAATATCAAGTGACGGGATGAACAAGTCATGCATCTGATGGTAAGCTTTAAATCACAAATATCTGAGGGGCACTGCTACTGCGCCTGTAATGTCATCAGCACCCTTATACCATTCAAAACTGGAACGCAGTAATGCTAACATTGCTGCTTGGCAGCAGAAATAGGCAAGGTGGCAGTACTTCCCAGGACAAACTCTCTCACATGGATCTCTGCTGCTGCTAAGTGAATGTTTTGAGTCTTAGTGGTTCTAGTATTTGTAAAAATCAAACAATAAATAATATTATAAATGTGAAAGTAAATCTGTTTGTTACGTTTTCATGCCAAATCTGCTGAACAAATTTTGGTATAGACAGGATGTAGGAGAAGGACATAGGCTACTTTTTGTCATAAAAATAAATCTTAAAGAGGATGGAACTTTGTGTATAGGAACCAATCGTTTCTTAAGTAAGGGATCTAAAAATTCATGTTTGTCTTTTGAAAAAAATAAATAAAACAAATAAAATTGTGTGGTACAGTAGGCTACTCAAAGTAATTATTCTAGGCAAACTAAGGGTCTTATTCCAGAACTCTACTACATACTGAAGTCAGGGCATGAGTATTGCAGTGAGCACTGAAAAATCATACTCAAGTTCTTGCCATTAGGGTCGTAATTTCAGTGCTACAAATCATACTCAAGTCTGCTCAAATACTGACTTGATCATTGAGTAGAGTTCTGGAATACGACGATAAGGCACGGGCGCCAGCTAGTACTTCATAATTTTCCATATTATGGTATGGGACTTTTACTACAATTTTATGTGAAAGAACCATTGTTTCAGATACATACATACTTTCAGCACTGTGAACCATAAATTATGTTTGTTTCTCAAAATAAATAAGATTTTGTTGAAATATTCAGGGTTATTTGTAAAATACTGATAACCTCGCTGAACTATATTACCAACATCAGAAACAACAACTTTTGTTCCATGACTTTTTACAAAATGTAATAAATGTACTAAAAATAAACTTTTAAGTTTTTGTTGTACTATCTGACACTTTTTAGATCTGCATTTGGTAATAAATTGTTTAGCAACACCTCTTATGTGGTTTATGTCACCGCATAGAGTTACTACTGCTTAGAGACATCTACTTCAATATTTTTAGAATTTAACTATTTGTGTGAGTCTAAAGTCTAAACCAAGCTAGGTGTATGTATGTGTATTCTCCCCTTGTGGGAACCAGAAAACTGGCCTAATTATAACCTTTTGTAATGATATCAAGTAAAGAGGCGAATGAGTTGTCATCTCGTGGTATGCTAAACATCAATAATAGACGTTGTGCCACTCAGAGCTTTAAATCGCAAAAATCTGAAGACCACTGCCACTGCGTCACCCTGACGACAAGTCTACCCATAACAGTTGTTGCGTCTGTAATTTCACCAGCACCCTTACCATGCTCAAATTACTGCTCGGATGCAGAAACAGTATAGTGGCAAATTAAAAAGAAATCTTATTTTGTTCTGCAAATTTTCGCTAAATGTTTTATTTTAAAATTAATCTTCATAAATGTGCGTTTAGAAATCACCACACTTTCAATACCACCCCGTACTGGAGGTCATTCTAGGCCGCGCGTTCAACGCACGCGGCTCTGTGTCACCGGCGGCCGTTAACCTTTCCCCTGCCCCTCCAGCCCCCACAAGCCTAGATGATCTGCACCCGCCCTGGAGATTGCGATGTAGGTCGGATGTTTTCAGTCAAGTTTTTTGGCCTTACATATTTAGGATATTTTGGGGCGAACAATATCTTGAATTCTTCGGAAGTTTTTTTCTATCATCATTCTGCGTGATCTTTTCACCAGCCTAATGTGAAGTAAGAAGGGACGGTAATAAATTTAAATACATTTTTGTGTAAGCGAAGATCTCGATTTTTTAAATTTACAGTCATGGTATTTGTTTCATCGTGCGATATTTGATCTTAAGTTTTCAAACTTAAGAGTAGGGAACCAAATATATAATTACTTGTCGGATTTCAGTTTCGGGCTTAACCCTGACATACCTAGTAACCTAGGAAGTCTATCTATCTGGAGTTGTACAATACTAGACGTGTATATATATTTACTACAACACAACAACAATACAGCGTTTTTGTAACGTTAAACGTTTGGTTTCCCAAATCAATCATCTGCACTGTCATTTTGTTTTTTATTTTTACAGTCAATTGTCTACTTTATTTTTGGCTATTTTTACGACTGTGCGAATAATCATTTTTTTGTATACACATGTACCACGAAATAGCGCCTCTGTGACGTTAAAAATACGCACGACGACGTGACATTAACACGTGGTAGTATGATTTCTAAAGTGGCACGTCAGTTCATATTATTTTTAAAGTTCATTATCAGTCTTATATCGTGGTTATTAATCGTTTTTACAACCCATTATACGTGTTACTGCTGTACGGTTTCCTCCAAGGAGAGGGTTTAGGCCATAGCCTGCCTGGCTGGCCCAATGTGGGTTGGAGATCGTCACACGTTTTCCAAAGGTTACGAACCTTCTTCGACATGCAAGCTAGTTTCTTTGCTTTGTTTTGCTTCACCATTAGCGAGAGACATGTTGCTATGAAATATTCGAAAATGTGTGTAACTCAGAAATTAAATTCATATGTACATGCCGTCATTCGAATAGTTAACCTCTTAGGCTGCTAACACATCGACTACATGCAGTTAATGCGTGAAGTCGGTAATCAACTTCATGGAGCCGACACCACGACTGCAAACATGGAGTCAATCTGTTAGCAGCCTAAATTGAGAAGCAGCCTAGTTCTCCTATGGGGCTACCACCGCTATATTATATTTTCACAATGGTCACATTTAATATTACACATGGTGATAATTTATTAGCTGGCAACATTCCTTTAAGGGCATGGTCATTACATGAAATCAATCAACTTTTATTATATAGTCGCAACTGAAATAACCATCAATCATATAATGATAGTTAATAATAATAGCTTTGTATAGAAAGTTGGCTGCCGAATATAACATACAAGATTTACTAACTATTCGTTAAAGCAGAAATATATCAATTAACTTTAATTTAACCTTAACTGTCTCTGTAGAGACAGAGAGAGATTGGAGTCATTTGAAATGTCGTGCTGGAGGCGAATGGAAAAAAGAAAACGGATTGAAAAGACATCAAATGAGTAAGTTTTGGAAAGGGCTGGGGAGGAGAGAAGTCTTTTGAATACAATAGAGGACAAGGGGGAAAATGTTTGAATATTTGTTGCGTAATGACGAATTTGTGAGAGTGATAATTGAGGGGAGGATAGATAGAATGGAGTACAGTGAATGAATAAAAAAGAAGATCAAAGTGAACAGCTATAGAGAGGTCAAAGAATGGGCTATGAACTGTGAGGAGTGGAGAAGGCTACACCGACAAGAGTCTGGCTCTTAAATAAGAAGATGATGCCCCCGTGGCCGAACGATTACCACCCTGGATTGCTACGCAGAGATTCCCGGGATCTGGAGAAATATTTGTATGGCCTACATTTATTTCTCTCATGAGTTTGGGTGTAATTTGTGGTTGTCTATGTGTGTGTCCATGGCACTCGCGATACACGGTTTCCCTAGTGCGGGGCGATTAGTGTGTGCGTTAACTACAAAAAAACTTTAGTCCAAAATGTTCGTAGGAATACTACCTTTGAAGTTCTCGTCCTGGGTGCCGTTTTTCGTCCTTCGAATAATCGATCGTCTACGACGTCGGGTTGTGCCGTAACTGCGTAATTCATAGTATGTCTATTTCTGAAATTTCTACCGCGAGACGCTTACTAATTCAATTGATAAGACTTAAATACCAGGTCCCAAGTTCCTGATTGTAGAATCGTTTGGATTTCCAACTTGAACCTTTAAAGTTCTTTCTTATTTCATTTTAATCGAAACTGTATTTCAGTATTTACGTTATGGACGTAAAGTTCGAATTAGTACGCAACGAGACTGGCAGAAAATGCGGCACAATGTATAAATTGGCAACGGAAACGTACGCGTACGTTGTCCCAATGAATTATCATAACCTACTGCCTACATACTTATCTTAG